TGTGGAGGCAGATTGAGCTCGTAGTCGTACAAACTCGCGGTGCAGCGCTCAATAGCCAGCAAAAGATGAATCAACTCGCGAGTACGGTCACGGGGTACTCTTCTCCGCCTCCCACAACAAGCCCTGCTCGATTGGGAAGTGCCGCTGCTGCGAGTGCGGGAGCTGTCTCGAGTTCCGCCGGCAAAGAAAGCCGCGATAAAGGCAAAGCCTCCAATATCGTCGGAGGCATCTTTGGTGGGTCCAAGGAGAAAGAGCGCGAATTTGTGGCAGACGGACCTGGATCTCTTTCGCGTCCTGGTACAGCTACCGACTCGCCAGCTGTAGCAGGAGAAATCATCCCTCTTGGGCTCACCAATAGCCATACCCCGAGCATCAACACTACCATCACGAGTGTAACGGCCTCATCTAATGGAACCATCTCTTCTGGTGAGTTTATCCAGTTACATTTCATTTCTAGAACTGATCTCTGGGATAGGTACACACGGGGCAGGCGAATTGAGAACACCAGGAACTCCTACGACGACCAATAGCATGAAGAGCTGGAGTACGACATCACTATCAGCCTCTGTCGACTCCAACGATGTTACTTCCCCATCTCACCAATCCCATTCATCCCCTTATGGCAACACAGCGACCACCTCTATGAATAGCGCCCGCGAAAAAGAGCGCAAAGAAAAGGAGCGCAAGGAGCGCGAAAAGAGGGAGCGTGAACGAGAAAAAGAGAGGGAGAAAAAGGAAAAAGAACGCGAAAAGGAACGCCGCAAGGCCCTCCTTTCCCAACCCGGCCTCTTTGCCGAAATCCTCCTAGATGGCGAAGTCTGTGGACGTACGACAATTCGCAAGCCTCCTGCACCGACTCTTAGCTCATCGTTGTACGCTGACCACGGCTCGCCGGAAGCTGGACCGGAATGGTTTGAGCAATTCTTGTTTGGTGACTTGCCCTCGTTTGGCAACATGATCATTGCGCTTTGGAGATTACCCGAGGGTGGTAAAAAGGACAAGGAGAGAGATGGTGACGGAGAGAAACGACCCAGGAGTGCGGGCACTGGTAGTGCTGGAACAACGAGCATAATCGGTGGTACAACTAGTGCAGGAAGTGGTGGTGCAATTGGTTCTACGAATAGCTCGAGCCACCACAACCTCAGTACCGTCTCTTCCATCGGTGTCTCTTCTACGCATAGTGGTGTCTCTAATCTTACGGATGGGACGACAAACGCTGCCCGTGGCGGATCCAATTCCTATGGCGTGATTGGCAACTCGTTTGGAGCTGCCAAGGGTGCCACCTTCGTCGGATGCGTTGAGATTAGCTTGCCCCACTTTAGTCGTGGTGAATGGGTAGAGGGATTCTGGCCCGTTTATGCTCATGCCAACACGATGACTAGTGGGAATGCCGGCAGTATGCCTGGCTTGGCTGGTGGTATGTGCCATGTTGCCCAATCATTATTGACTTTCGAACTGACAAGGCCTCTTAGGTATCGGAACTCTTGGGATGGGAGTGGGTGCCATGGGCCTCGGTGGGATGAGCGGCATCGGTGGCGTTGCTGGTGCGCTTGTCCAAGTCGGAGAAATGAAGCTCAAGATCAAGGTCGACGAGTACGTGATATCGCTTCCTCATTATTATTTTCTGACGTTTTTATTGCAGGGAGATCATTCTTCCGTCCCGAGCTTATCGAAATGTATTGGATGCGCTCGAAAAGAGAAACTATTTGGACGTGTTGTCCGACCTGGAGCAAAAGCTTAGGATTGATCAGCAGTTGATCACTCCTCATATCGTCACTCTGGCCGTTGCCAGAAACAGGTTACTCCATGATATCGTTGAGCTTGCCGAAAGGGAGATCAACTCGGTAGCCAGCTGTAAGTATTTGCTTTTTTGTCGTGTGGCGACTGGACTAAGACTATTTCGAATAGCTACCGCTACCAATACTCTCTTCAGGGGCAACACTGTTTTGACGAAAACCATGGAACTGGCCATGGCCTGGTACGGCAAAAAGTTCCTCGAGGCTTCCGTTGGTCCCGTGATTCGTCGAATGATCGCCGAAAAGGTCGAGATCGAAGTTGATCCCTCCAAGCTCAAGGTCTCTAGCAAGCGTCCATCGACCAGAGACTCCTTCCGCCCGAGTACCAAAGAGTCTATGATCAATACCAGCACGAGCGGAAAAGACAGGGCCGAAATAGAGCGTGAAATACTACAAGAACAAGGTGTTCGCGCTTTAGAGTACTGGTGCAACGAGCTCTGGAACCAAATCTATGTCGTCCGAATGGAGTGCCCCATCGAACTACGACGACTTTTCAGCCACGTACGAACTATGGTTGAAAAGAAGTTTGGGAGCAACCCAGCGAATTCCGCTCCCGAAAATGGCTACTATAACCCCGATCAACCTACCGTTTCCGCCACTCAAGCGCAAGCCAATATGGACATGCTGCCCTGGCGTGCCATTTCGAGCTTCGTCTTCCTCCGTTTCATCGTGCCAGCTATTCTCCATCCTCATCTGTTTGGCCTCTGCCCTGGTATGCCATCGGGGCCTGTCGTGCGAAGCTTGACAATTCTCGCGAAATGCACACAATCGCTCGCCAACCTCAACCCCACCGTCCCTCCCAAAGAGGAGTATATGCGTGGTATCAAGCCCTGTCTAGAGCGCTATAACCCGACCATGGTCGATTATCTCAAATGCGTTTCCTCGCTTCCGGATGCGTGGAGCCCCTTGGCCAATTCGAGCAGCTTCTTGTCAGGACCAGACAAGCACGACAGACTCTACGTCATCAACTCACTCCGAGAACGACTAACTGGGAGGGGTGCTGGAAGCATTCCTACATTATGGAAGGATGCCATCCCTCTCCTTCCTTACGCGCTCGATGTCCCCAAGCACCTCGCCATCCTCAGTTCCACTGTGGTTCGCAATGCCAAGTCTGCCAGTGCTTCTGGGATGCCTCGAGGAGGAGCTGCTCCAGGAGCAGATGATTCGGACTGGAGTCTTACTACGTTCTCCGGTCTCTGTTTCGATGTTGAAGCTCAGGCATTGAAGAGTGTGGCAACCTTGGCGCAAGGTGCTGCTGCTGCTAGCTCGGGTACCTTTGGTAACTCCGTCCGGACGAAGCGCTCCACGTCCGTCTCGTCGGGCTTCGGATATTACCAGCAGGGCTCAGCTATGAATCCCACACAGCAACCACATGATTTTGACTCTACTGCCTCCAACCGTCCAGGATCCTCCAGAGGTGTCACGCCTACAGGACCCCCAGGTGGTTCCTCACCCAACGTTACGACACCTACGCAAAAACACATGCCATCACGGCCATGGTCCTCATCTTCACAGTCCAAGCGGCCATCTTCTGCACGTTCCGTTACTGCACCAGCTCCACCTTCACCACATAATATTACACCTCCTGTAACCGGCGGCAGCAAAGAGCACCTTCAACCATCTCCAC